AGCAATTTACGAAAATTTGCGCTTAAAACACGACAGTATAAATGTTTTCTTTTATGCATCTGTGCGTTATGATTTAATATTTTGTATTTTTGTATTTCCTATGAGATGTCGCGTCTTTTCTTTAATTGAAATCCATCCGTGATAAAAACAGAAGCGGGAACAAAACACATTTTGAATGGAATTACTAACTGTTGTGTTTAACGCTTTCTCGCGTGTGACTTCATTAGAATGAGATACGTTTGATGTTGCGAATATGGCTATGCGTGAATATGTGCATGAGTTGTAGTAATTAAAAATGATTAGGTTTGTATCTGCATTGTAAATGTTGCTGGGCGTGTGAACACGTCAGATGATCAGCATTTCTTGAGGTGCGAACTATTTTATATTGAAATCATCTTTACGTTTCCGTCTCCCCGGAGTTTTCAGGCAGATCAGATCAGGATCCAAAAACAAACAAAAAAAAAACAGACACTCGAAAATAATCAATCAATTTCTAGTTCGAAAGGTCAATCATCACTTGAATGATTCATCACAATTAAGACAATTCTTATTCATATTGAAAGCATTTTTTTTTGTTTTAAATACATTCTGTATAAAACTTCGTGATTCAAACTGACTATTATTCTATTAGTCTGTCTGCGCATTTTCCTTTGTCTTCCACAAAATACATTCCTGACCGAACCTCTTTTAATGTACTAGCTATCATTCTAACTGAATTCGCCATTTTAAATTCACGTCTTAAAAGTTAATTATGGTTATACTGTCTCTCATTTTATCCGGTGCTTACTCTATATGTCATTAATTACATTCATTACGCTCGTTATATTGTTCCCACATTATAAATCAAGTGTGACTTGCTTATTTTAGTCGGAGATTCATTAACAAATTATCGATTACTTTATCTATGTGAGTTACATTTATATTTGCAGGACTGTCTACATTTGCATACTTTGCAGTCGGCATCTTTCTGTAGCCTTTGTTACTGATCAATTCAACGATGCCTGTCTCTGTCTGCCATTACAGCAGAGTTCTGTCTGCCATATTCTCCGAGGATAACCGACATGATTACCTGGAGTTTACGGTCTTTATGTGTACAATGAAGACAGTGTATAGAGATTTAACATAATAGAGTTCATATATATATATATAGAGAGAGATAGATAGATAGATAGATAGATAGATAGATAATATTAGTGGTAAATATACGCATACATATGCAAAATATATAAATATATATACATACATGCATACACATACATATATATTTTGTATAAGAAAAACTTCCAAGAGGATAGAATTCAGGTAGAACTCAATGTCCAGGACAGAGTAAGGATATAATAAAAGTGTTTAAGCCTTTTTACCTGGATTCTATCCTCTTGGAATCTTTTTAATACAAAATATATATGTATGTATATGCATGTATGTATATATATTTATATATTTTGCATGTGAATTATGACCATGGAATATTAGTGTTTAAGCCTATGAACTAGCATAAATAAGAGAATGTTAATCTTTACTAAAAATTACAAAGGATACGAAGTTGGTGAGAGCCATGATCGCCCATCTTCTGAATTTCGTTAGAAACAAAGAAAAGAGTATCGAAATGCGATGAAATACCAGTGCCCCTGTATAGCAGTGAATGCTGGACAATCCCATCACAGACGAGACTTGATGCAAATGAAATGTCATTCTACAAAAGGATGCTGAGAATGTTAACCATTACTATATGCAGAGATGATTTCAAGCTGATAATTTAGGATTAACATTTTAAAACGTCTAGAGATAAAATATATTTTAATCCTTTTCCTCCTACTTTCAGTTTTTCTATATGTCTCTCTATATAATGTACTATATATATATATATATATATATATATATATATATATATATATATATAAAAAAATGAGTGTTCAGTCACGGAGATAGAATCAGTCTTGCGTGATAACTTCTTTTACTTATCAGCAATATGTAAAGCAATGATTAGAATGAGAATAAAAACTAAACAAGTGAAAGGGAATTCATACATTTTTTGTTTACTTGAGAATTGACAACAAATATGATAAACGCTATTTACTTATTATATTGTGTATTTAAATTATTTATTTATTATATGTTTATTGGAATTGTTGGCAAAACATCGACGAATTGCCAATCAATTCAAAATTTATAAAATATGATTCATAATAAGGAATTACTTATAGTTGGTTTACATATTTTAATAAATTAGGAAATGTTTATAAATTTATGAATAAAATAAATTGTTTACCCATTTATGAATCCATCTCCTTCCTAGCTATGGGTTAAATAGTGGGACGTGTATCTGGAAAACCATTGTTATTCTCAGAAAGTTGTTAATGCAAGACTTACTCGGAAAGTAAAAAAAAATAATTATTTTAAAAATGTTTCGGTTGTAAATATCCCATAGAGGGTTTATAAGCTGTAAAAATTATAGAAATCAATTAGTCTTTTGTTGTTTTTACAAAACGTAAGTTCTTTTAACGCAAGGTTAGAGAATCAGTAAGAGTCGAATTGACTAATAAATAATAATTATTAACCAGACTCGTTAACCATTACTATATGCAAAGGCAATTTCATGATGATAATTTAGGATTAACATTTTAAAACATCTTCTAGAGGTAAAATAATTTAATCGTTTTTCTCCAACTTTCATTTTTTTTTTCAAATATATTTTAGATAGATTCCAGGTCGCTCACATTGTCAGACATTTAGAGCTTTAATCAAAGAAGAGGGAATGTTGTGTATGTTAAGAAAAAATGTATTTTTCTCGTTTGTCATCTCATTTACATAATTACTATAATTTAATGTCAAATTCATTTCATTAGTTCTCTACCAAATAGTTAATGTATTGAGTTCAGTGTTAAAGTTTTTAGTAGTGAAAGCTGCAAAAAAAAAAAAAAAAAAAAAAAAATGAGCCAGGATTTTGTATGCCGTGAGAAAACAAAATGCGTCAAAACTTGTCTAACGTTTCCATGCTTTAAAACGATAGTAGTGAGTTTTGGTTGGTCTCATTCAAAGGTATAAAAATATATTCATGGATCCGTTTTTATAATTGTTCCCGGAAAATGGCCGCGATATAGTAATTTCCCAAGCAATGCAATAAAGCAACATTGGCGTTCCATTATTTTGTGCCTAGAACAGTAAATACAACCTCGACGTATCCAACATTTCTAACAATCAGTTATATGAACCAGAAGGAAAAAATGAATTGCTGGATCCAATTTACTTCGATGTCAGTTTTATCACAATGACGACGAAGCAGTTTGATTAGGTTGAGGCAACTTTCTTAAAGTAATACAAAGGAACGTCGTGAAAAATTGGAGGCTAAGAAAAAATTCAATTTCCAAAGGGTAGTGCCAAATCTTTCAAGAAGAACTGGCACGTTTCTTTTCGACAGCTGAATATCTGTTTTGTAAGTGCCGACAGGAAATTGATTGCTACCGCTGCGAATAATGTTTATTTTTTTTTATTATTCTTTTTTTTATCTTTGTTGAAGTTTTGGCTGTCTTTAAACGGGACTTCGGCCGAGACCCTGCCAATTATAAATGGTATCGGCAAAATTCCATTCAAGGAAAGGTGGATTCTATAAAAGTACATCATTATGACCGAACAGTTTCACATGACAATGTGAAATAATATGTCATTTCCAATGACAATTTCAGTTTGAGAACTGAGACAATTAAGCTCCTCAGGAAGAGACTCACGAATTCTGTGGCTCAAAATTCTACTTGTCAATTGCAGCAAGTTTATAGCTCTTTCTTTTCATATAAATATAATCATATCTTCGTAGAGACTGGGCACCTCAACGCGTTGTAATGATTAGCAAGATTGTATCGCTAGAATAATTTCGACTGAGTAGTGAGTTTGATGGATGTCCAATACTTTTGGCCTTGTGCCACATCTAAGCTACGCTTAGAAAATCAGTATCTTTTTAGAGGTATCTTGAAAATGAACAAAAAAGAGAGAATTATTTTTTTTTTTTGGTATAATGTCGTTGGTTCCAGATAAGTTAAAATTAAAGCCAGATTTCAAATGTTGATTTTAAAAGGAAATTATCTTAGTTCAGATCTTTGATCAATCTCTATAATTCATATAAATCATTGTAATTTTATACCTAGTAAACTTTACTCATATTTATTCTCCGGTATAGAAGGTAAGGCTGGACAATTTTCTTACAACTGAAGAAGAGAGATGGAGCTTCAGAGATGTGGCCCTAAAGACTAAAGCTAAGAATATCACCGAAGGAAGATATGCCCAACTAGTCAGTTCCAAAAAAATCGAAACAGAAAGACACATATATTTAAAATAAAGAAATAATCGGAATATTTATGAGATATTATGACGGACGAGAGAATATTTAACATTCACAAGAGATATTAAAAGACAGAGAAGTACAGGAATGCAGAGACTAAACTACCTAAATAGTTTCGGTGACAGTTTGCCAGAAAAGGGACAATGAAGTATGCTAATGGCGCGAAAGGAAATTAAGGAAGGCCATGAAGGAGTGTAACGCATAAAAAAAGCAAACAAATTTTTACACTCCATTGTAGGCGAAGGAGGCACGGTGGAGCAATGGATTGCGGCTTGGATTGAGGAATCGGAGAGGCGAGTTCGAATTCCAGTCAAATCCATTACATTCACTTACGTGCTAATACCCTTGAGAAAGGTGTGAATCCTCTTCTTCTCCCCTCAGTTATGGGTAAATAACAGGACAGACTGGGTTCTATAGCCTTGGATGGCAACTGGTCTAGGAGAAGGAAAACTCTGAATTCAAAAGAATTTGGGGGCCTTGTGGCACGTAGTGCACCAGGTCTCTGCAATCGGCCCTTCAAAAAGTGTGGATGGTCCTGCACGAAACCTTCACCACTATAGTCAAATCTCATGCATACATGCGGGTTGGGGACCGCTTGTGAATTCCAAATTCCCATGAAACTCCAATATTGGAGCCGGCTCAACCCACCCCGGGTGAATGCCGTTACAAGCACAAGAAGTAGGCGAACGCTCGGCAAGATAGATGCATCGAAAGAACACCAGTGGATGAACATATAACGTCCGCAGCACAGTTCACATCAAATTTGGCTCACAGAAGGTTTCACATAGCCCACTGTTAATAGCATATTTACAGACCTTTCCTCGAGCCACAACCCCAACGAGCCGATCAACAGGCGTCATTTTAGCGATCGAACGTCACACTGAAGTATTCACTGATGAGAACAGGTTCTACCTTCTTGCAACTGATTTTATCTGTGACGTATATCTGGACAATAACATCTTCCAGAGTAGAGACACCAATGACACACCCCCAAACCAGTAAATCGTTGTACAGGATTACATAGATATCAATTCACGCTTATCTTTGGTGTTTGTAGCGGAAACGTTAAAACAGCCAAACGCATGTCCTGAATTTAAAGCTCATTCTGTTGTCATGCTTGCAACCGGAAGGCGATACGTTGTTTCAGCAGAATAATGCCTGCCTCTATTATACCCATACTATTCCACTTGTACTGCATTAAAGATCAGAATTTAAAGAAAGCTTTTTTAAAAATAATAAGGCCATTATTTGCATAATATAAATGTGTTATTGTAAAACTTTAAAAAGAAATTTACTATGAAATACATTAGAAATAATAAAGAAAGATACAGTCAGTGATAAGCATTATGTATAAATAAATGTAGACAAGTCGGATGACGTAAAGTACAGCAGTATGTATCGAAAACGAATAGCCAAAATCTTTTGCCCAAACCAATATAAAATCAATAATATTGAAGTAAACATTTTCCTGGCAAAACAGATGTCTTACTGTCTGGCCTACATAGAAAATATAATCAGGGGGAATCCACTAAGAGTGTATATTTGACATTAGGCGAAGAAAGTCTAAATAATATTTGTTATAACCTTATCGCAGATGTGCAGTGGTATAATGGATAGCTGCTGGCGATGGTCAATTAGAGAGCCGAGTTCGAATTCCAGCCGAGTTCGTTACATTCACTTATAGGCAAATCACCTTGGAACAAGTATGAATCCATCACTTTAAAAAAACAAAAACAGACTGAGCTTATAGCCTTGATTGACAACGAGTCTAAGAGAAAGAAAACTTTGAATTCAAACAAGTCTGAAGATGTTTGGGCTCCATCAAGCTATCTTGCCCAAAACACAACACTTACTGCTACGGTTGCAGTACAGCTTGTTCTCTTAATTGGTTATAGGAGTCGGGATTGAGATCATCGTAAAGGCACATCATAAAATTTTATTATTTTTATTATACATACATTCATCAGAATGGACCTGGTCGAGGGGTTAGAACATTCGCTTTCGGACCACTAGAACGGGTTCGAATATGTCAAGAAACTGTGAGTGAAATTGGGTGGACGGGACCCTTGAGTCGTCCGTAGCTGTGCTAGCACGAAGTCACAAGTCATCGTGGCCGAGAGTTTGAGCGTGCTGGCATTTTTCACACTGTTGATCAGACTAGATAACGGGTTCTCTCACAGAAAATGTAACTAAGGTCTGCTCAGTATAGTTGCACTATAAACCTATTGTGAGACCGGAACTACCTACACAATAGACTCTTCCAGGTCTATATTAAGTATGCGACACAACACTCTACACAGAGACACAGAGAGACTGTGAGAGCCGCGTACGACTACCAGTATTGGACACTAACATATAGTAAGCTCCGCTTACACTATCTCTGTAACCTGTTGTTAATATATCTTAAATTGCATATGTCGTAAACCGGACATAATCCACATTATTTACATTATTCGGACTATTGTTCTCATCTTTGTCGCCATATTTATCACAACGTTTCGGCCGTTGTACGCTCCGGCCTTCTTCAGGCGCACTTACAGGATGTGAAAGTGAAAGAGAAGATGGGGAGAATTGGGGAAAGAACAAAAAAAAAAGGAACAAGGTTGAAGAAGCAGAAGATGGCGGTTGACGTTGCATTTAAATTTTTAAAGACTGTAGTTATCAAAGAGGCAAGGAATCAGAAGGGAGCTCCATGAGTAGGGAAGTGCAGGAAAAGAAACTGTCAGAGTAGAAGTGGTGATTGCATCTAGCTAGTTTAACAGTAAAATGGTGAGAGCCAGTCGCCAGTCTCTCGTAACACGTTTTAATTCATGTAGTCTGAGCTGCAGGGGAAAATAGCTCGTCAAAGCAGCTGCCATGAAAAAATTTGTCGAAAAGACAAACGAAAACCACATGATGTCGGTGAGAAAATAACTGAACTAGAGATTGTTGCAGTTTTTTTGTGTATATATATATACTAGTGAGCCAGTCCAAATGACTTGACTCATTTTATAGTCCACCAATAGAAGGTTAACCAATCAGAAGACGTAGAATATTCAATCCGTCATGTATAAAGGCGGCCATTTTGTTTACTCTATCCGAATGTCCAGTGCCAGCTTGTCAGGGGAAGAGGAACAGAAGGACGAACTACGCTCTGCTACTTTTACCGAAATATCCATTGCTAACCTGAACTACGCTTCCCTACTGTCTTCAAAATATTCACTGCTAACTTCTGGATTCTATACTCAAAGACGACCGTCATCATGAACAACAGAGATAAATGATTAGGATCGATTATTATGCTTTTAATGTTTATTTTATTTAATTTTAAATTTGATCAAATATCCTCCCCCACATAAGAAATTACATAGTCTGCATTTACCGCTCCTCCTAAAATGTAAAAAAAATAAAAATAAAAAAATGAACAATAGGCGCACATAAATGTATGCAAAGTAATTATAGAGGAACAAATGAGCTCTTTCGTATATTTTATCAATATTTCTAACTTGCTTAAAAGCCGTTATGTCGGGCAGAATTTAAGCTAGCTCGTGCGGAGAGATCTTGATAGGGTCTTCGGCTTGTTGAGAAGTTGAGAAGTTAGAGAGTTTCCTGAGTCTTATATTCTCAGCATTGGAAGTTTTCTTAACTGCCGTTTGATCTGGGTTTTCATTGACAGGAATCTTTCTTTTCCTTGCTGCAGCTTTAGCTTGCAATCTGGTCTTCTGTTAAGTGAAGATTCTTTTTGCGAGGCATACTGCTGCCGTATGCGATAGGTAACAATAAACTACAGAATAATTCGAAATTGATCGCTGCATTGAAATATTGCATTACTATTTAAGCGTACCTTTTAAAAGTTCAACGATAATTCCTCTGCCGCAACTTAATTTACCGATGATTTGATGTGTGTAGGTCCTTACTTTTCGTAGAAACAATTATTTTTATTTCATGGGTGATTTTCGCTGGATTTCGCAATTAATTTAAATTATTCCTAAATTTATTTCCAAGCTATAAACATTGTTATCGTACAAAAAAAAAATCGTAAAACATTGCCGAAAACAATCGCAGTACTTAAAACTTGGGAATAAAAAAAATCTGTAACATGAGATATTGAAAGGCTAGTGTTGTGTCACTTTAATTGAAAAAGTGTGACACACTGACATTCGCATTTATTATATAAAAGTAGATACTTTAACATTATTCATGATCTTCTGTATTAGAATAAAGTCAAACAAAAGATGATGGCAATAAATTGTTGTACGTGTTCATCTGAGAGTTTCATCGGGACCCGGATATATCTGTATGACGTCATGTCGTTAACATACCTCGCCAGTTGGTTCAGGATAATCATTGCTTTCATTAATTTACCCACAATGTTGGACCTCTACCTGAATCATTGATGCTGTAACAAGATACGGGACAAAGAAATTTCTCGCGAGAATCTCGTCAACAGCTACCGAGTAGTTTAAGCTGAACACCTTTAGAGTTCAGTTTTAACAAGGGTAGTAAAAGAACTTACCGTTACTAACATTTCGTCTTAGATAGTAACAGAAAAATGATTCGGGCAAATAACGCTATGTAATTAATTTTGATCATGCCACTTTCAATAATCTTGATATGCAAAGTGAATATTTTGGTACAGAAAATGGCACAAGAATTATGAGGAATCATATTTCGTTGATGTACACACTCGTAACTAGTTTAATGCCTATTTTGCTGTCTAATGTTGCTATTTTCTTTCGCCATCACGTTTTAGAAATTATTTAGTGCCTGTTTGAAATGGGGGCGAAGCATTGTCTATCTTTCTAAGTATATAAGCTTATTAAACACGCTTAAGATGATCTGTCAGGCAAAACTAGCTGGTAAAGAAGACTGTTTTGCATAATTATGTCGCGAGGATAATGCTAAAGAAATTAGAAATGAAAAAAAAAAAAAAAGAAAAAAAAAAAAACAAAAGCAAAGCCCAAAAGTGCTATATATATATATATATATATATATATATATATATATATATATATATATATATATATATATGTATATATATATATATATATATGTGTGTTTTATACATACATACATACATATATATATATATTTTATACATACATACATACATACATATATATGTTTATACATACATACATACATACATACATACATATATATATATGTTTATACATATACATACATACATATATATATATGTTTATACATACATACATACATATATATATATATATATATATTTTATACATACATACATACATATATATATATATGTTTATATATACATACATACATATATATATATATATGTTTATACATATATACATATATATATATACATATATATATATATATATTTTATACATACATACATACATATATATATATATATGTTTATACATACATACATACATATATATATATATATATATGTTTATACATACATACATACATACATATATATATATATATGTTTATATATATATATGTACATACATACATACATATATATATATATATATATATTTATACATACATACATATATATATATATGTGTATTATATATACATATATACATATATATATATATATATATATATATATATACATACATATATATATATATATTTATACATACATACATATATATATATATATATATATATATATATATATATATATATATATATATATATATATATATAGGTATGTGTAGGAATCTTTTAAATCTTTGATATCTTTAGTAGGTAATAAGAAATAACACACACACACATATATATAAGAAATAATATATATATATATATAGTGAGAGATAAATAGATGTGTTATAGTATTTTATTGCTGTTGGGCTAAGGAAATACTTTTAAATCTTTTAAATGCAGTTCTTTAAATTATAAAAATGTACTGACATAATTACACACACATGCACGCACACACACACGCATATATATATATATATATATATATATATATATATATATATATAAATGAACATTGAAGTCTTCACTCAGAGGCGATAATCTGTTTCATTGTAAACGCAATCGTCAGGCTTAACGCAGGAAATAGTTCGTAACCTGTGGCTGTTTATATCAGTGTGTTAAAAATGTAATCGTAAGTTCTATTTATGGGGAAGTGTGCTCAGTATCAAGGATAAACCGTATGTAAATATGAAAGTGGACACTGAGGTCAACACCTAGCGGAGTCTCTTTCATATTTGGACGCAATCGCGACTGTCTGAACGCAGTCTTAAGGCCTGAAGATTGAACGTAATTAGATGGTCTGAACGTTGCGTTCAAGCGTTCGCAGATTGGTGTTGACCGCTGTGTACAATTTTATCTCTCTCTCTCTCTCTCGCGCACACACACGCACACACTCTCTCTCTCTATCTGTCTGTCTGTCTGTCTATCTATCTATCTATCTATCTGATTACCTTCTATCTATCTATCTATGTGATTGCCATCTATCTATCTATCTATTCATATTTATCTGTGTCAGTTTCTTCTCATATATCTATTTGTCTCGGTCTTTTCACATCCATCCATCTATCTATCTATCTGGTTGTCTTCTATCTATCTATCTATTCATATTTATCTGTGTCAGTTTCTTCTCATATATCTATTTGTCTCGATCTTTTCACATCTATCTATCTATCTATCTATCTATCTATCTATCTATCTATCTATCTATCTATCTATGTCAGTTTCTTCTCATATATCTATTTGTCTCAGTCTTTTCACATCTATCTATCTATCTATCTATCTATCTATCTATCTATCTATCTATCTATCTATCTATCTATGTCAGTTTCTTCTCATATATCTATTTGTCTCAGTCTTTTCACATCTATCTATCTATCTATCTATCTATCTATCTATCTATCTATCTATCTATCTATGTCAGTTTCTTCTCATATATCTATTTGTCTCAGTCTTTTCACATCTATCTATCTATCTATCTATGTCAGTTTCTTCTCATATATCTATTTGTCTCAGTCTTTTCACATCTATCTATCTATCTATCTATCTATCTATCTATCTATCTATCTATCTATCTATCTATCTTCCCCTGATATCTTGTGCCAGGATATTCAGAACAGTGCATTTAAGTATTGCAATTAAATTGTGGGTTTTCTTCAGAATTAATTTCTTGGTCTAACAAATTTCATAAACGTAAAATGAAATTTATATATGAGGAATATGTTGACCAGAACAAAACAGTGAAGTCGTCTTCATTTTCCTGAGACTCTTTGAGTATATCTAGTGCAGTATAGCATGGTGTATCGTCCATAGAGATGACACAGCCACTGTAGATGATTAAGAACATTGAGGTATGATCATCTTTGTAGATGAGAAAAGGACCCTGCCATGGAAAACTGGCATTCGAAATTTAACTTTGAGGTTAAAAATCGAAAATTATCGCCGGAGAGAAATACAAACCACTGGCCACAGAAAAGTCTTCCATGTTTTATTATTTTAGCCAATTTATTTGATTCTTTAGTTCATTTCGGAAGTTTTGCAAACATGAACATCTGTCCAGAACCGATTTAGCGATATAATATTAATGAAATAACATCTATAACAATGGTGTCTTAGTCTCCATCAAATAAAATCTATGGAATCTTACCTAGTTATTCCAACGCCCCTTCAACTTTCCAAAGCATTTGCAAAGTCGTTTTCTGGGATCGACATCAGTTTCTTCGTCTCTTTTTTGATAATCGAATAACAAGAGTTTCAAAAGCGAATTTTGCTTGAAAAAAAATTCCACAATGATCAAAATTCTGATTGTCAGAAGTCTAACTTATCTGAGTGGTGCGATGTTTTACCAAAAAAAGACTTTTACAAGAGTTAAACTATCTACTCGTTAGTCATAGTGAAAAAATAGGTGAGCAATCCAACACAGTAGAGTCTCATTGACAACAGTGTAACACCATAGGAGAATGTCTGTTCTTGCATGTATAAAAAGATGACATCTCATTGTTTAGCAAGTCATTTCAACGCTTCGTAACCGTCTCTTACGACATTCAAAATTTTTGGATGACTTCCGGCCAGACCTTGTAGTTGCAAAATGTTACGGGTCAAAGTCTATTAGAGTCAGATATAATACAGAGAGACATTTCTAGTGGGCTTTTAAAAGCCTTGAGAAAATGGAAGAAGTAAAATTCGAAAGACCAAACGGAAATATCAAAGGAAAGAAATGTTGAAATAAGATAATCTGAGAAAGTTTTATATATATATATATATATATATATATATATATATATATATATATATATATATATATATATATATACATACAGATGGGGTAGAGAATGAGGAAAAGTTTGAGATAGAGTTAGAAATAGACTTATATATTTACATTATTTACATTGTTCGGACGGTTGTCCTCATCTTTGTTGTCATATTCACTACATTTCGGCCGTTGTACGCTCCGCCCATTTTCAGGTCATTAGAATTTCGAACTGAGCTCCTTATTCTGTCGACCGGGGTAGATTTTTCTAGATCCTCGTTCCATGCCTCTTCAGAATATCTCAGTTCCAGTTTCAGTTATTTCCCTTTAATTCAACTCTCCAAGATTTGTTCACCTCTGCTGTAGCCAGGTATTGAACTCGCAACAATTTTTGGGTTGAGTTACTGGAAACAACGTCTTCTGTGTTTATATATATATGTAGAGGCATAGATAGATAGATAGATAGATAGATAGATAGATATAGTGAGAGAGAACGAACTGATATATATATATATATATATATATATATATATATATATATATATATATATATATATAAAAAGATATTGAGGATGTGAGAGAGAAAATACAGAGATAGAATTAATGAAATTTACATAGATAGATAGATAGATATAGTGAGGAGAAACGAACTGATATATATATATATATATATATATATATATATATATATATAAAGATATTGAGGATGTGAGAGTGAAACATACTGAGATAGAATTAATCAAACTTAGATAGATAGATAGATAGATAGATAGATAGATAGATAGATAAAAAGAAAGAGACTGAGAGTGGTAGAGAGAAACATACTGAAATAGATATAAAGAAACTTAGATAGATAGATAGATAGATAGAGGAGAGAGGAACGAACTGATATATATATATATATATATATATATATATATATATATATATATAAAGATATTGAGGATGTGAGAGTGAAACATACTGAGATAGAATTAATCAAACTTAGATAGATAGATAGATAGATAGATAGATAGATAGATAGATAGATAGATAGATAGGTAGGTTTTTTGATTCACTTAGCTGCATATTTTCAACTGATGGAAAAAGTGCAGCATACCAAATGCTTGTGAGACACGCTCTCCCCACTCATCATTTCCTCCTTCGGTCGTTTACCGCAAAAAGGTAATGTTAGTTAATGAAGCTTGAGGCAGGCTATATCGTGACTAAGATAGTTATCTATTCACTCTCGTTGCCAGTGATCCGAATTCGAATCGATGTAAAAAAGGGATTCTAAATGGTATTATAAAGAAAATCCCTCTCCACATGAAGCGTTTTCTTAATGTAAATCTCCTGTCTTCAATTGGTCTCGTGTCGTACTAAGCTAAGCCAGAAAATATGGAAAATTGAATGAGAGAGAGAGATAGAGAGAGAGAGATTTCAATAAAAAACACTAAAAATATTAAACAATTCTGAGTAAGACTACATTAGGTAAGAAAGTTGACGCGAGATGACGGACATGGAATAAACTTAGTAAGAAAAAAAGGGTAAAAAAAGAATTAAAACTTAGAAAACATGAATACATCCACCAGGCGTAGCAAAGCTTTGGCAATAAATGAGATGGGATATTAAAAGTGTGTAGGGCAAATGGCGAAATGTCAAAGAAGCACTGAAAAAAAAAAAAACAGAAGCCCTCAAAATAACGCGTGAACATTCAACTGGAAAAGGGGTAAACGCGCTCAGATTAACCATAGAAAAAGGTGAAGTGAAAAAGAAAAGCGTAAACCTCCACGATTACGCTGAATTATGCAAAATGAAATTGAGCAAAAATTAAAAAAGAGAAAACATCAAGTATGGAAAACCGGATTGTAAGCAGAATATAACCCGTGGAAAAGTGAAGAGGGGCATGAAAAACGTAAAAAAAATAAACATATGAAGAGTTGAACTGAAAAAAGAACAGAAGCCTGCAAGATCATGCAATAAACCCTCAAGGTCATATATAAAATGCGAAAAAGATGAGACGTCTTCAAGGTCATACAATAAAAGTAAAGTGAACAAGATCAAAAGCTCTCAAGGTCACCTATAAAAAACTGAAATAAAGCAGTCAACAGCCTCCAAGGTCACGCAATGAAGTTAACGTGAACAATATCAGAAGCCCAGAGAGTCATATACGAAAATATGAACAGAAAAAGATGAGACTCCTTCTAGGTCTCACAATAAAAGTAGTGAACAAGATCAAAATCCCTCAAGGTCATATATGAAAAGGTGGATTGAAAAATATAATAAGCCATCAAAGTCACGCAATAAAGGTGAAGGGACTAAGATCAAAAGCCTTTAAGGTCAGAGAGGAAACAGTGAATTCTTCAAGGTCACGCAATAAAGCTAATGTGAACAAGATAAGAATCACTCAAGATCGTATAGTAAAAGGTGAACTGAAAAGTATAAGGAGTCTTCATGGTGACGTTATAAATTTGAAGGGAAAAAGATCAAAAGTATATGAAACGGTGATCCGAAAAAAGATCAGAAGCATTCAATTTTACAAAATAAAGGTAACATGAACATGATAAAAAAGTCATCAAGGTCACCTATTAAAAGATGAACTGAAAATGATCAAAGCCTTCAAAGTGAATCATGGAAAGCCAGAATTAACAGCAGAACAATATTTCAATATCACACATGAAAAGACGAACAAAAAATTACTTGAAGTCAAGGTAACAAATGTAAAGATGATTCGAAAACGAGTAAAATGTTTTCACCGTAACGCGTAAAACAGTAAAACACAGATTAATGATGATGTTGTGAAGTGTAGAGAAAAATAAAAAAAGAAGACAAAGAAGAAAAAAAAAATCTGATATAAAAAATGGAGGAATATTTCTAGCCAATGGGATATAAAGAAGAAGAACAACAACAACAAAAAAAAACGAAAAAAAAAGAGACAGGATTTTCAGTTATTTGTAATAAAGTTTAAAAAGACAAATATCGCGAGAATATAAACTGTTTGTTGTCAAAGTCGGGTTAAAAATGCACGTTAGATCGAGCTCTTAACTCTGTCCGTTAATCTCTGGGCAGACATGAGATTTCCATTCAGGTTTGACATTTATGCAAAAAACAAAGAGATAACATTGCATGATATGTCCAACATTTAAACCGTGTGCTCTGATCAGGAAGTTATGCGAAATCTGGCGACATTGAAACATTTTGAAAAAGATCATGTGGTCCCAGAGAGCGCGGGGCATCAAATCTGACGTTAGCCACGCCTTACACTGTTTACTTGATGGGCAGATTTATTTTCTTTGTAATTTTTCCGTAAATATGAGCGTTTTTATTTTTGTAAATATTTTTATTTACTTCCATAAAAATTCCAACACTTTCAAACTCTAAACTTCTAATATTTTCAAATTTAAATAATAACTAAAAATGAAAACATAAAAAATAATTCCAAATGACCCATTTTAATAAAATAAAATTGTTAAAATAACGTAAACTAAATAATTTTAATTAAATATATATACATATACATACATACATACATACACACACACACATATATATATATATATATATATATATATATATATATATAAGTATGTGTGAGTGTGTGCGTGTGTGTGTGTGTAACGAATGCACAGCCGCAATTTTCGACGGATTTGCACAAAAATATACATGAACATACTCCAAGTTAGTGGGAAGGCCAAGACCGACGTTGCATTTCCCAACTCACATCGATAGTGGAAATAATCGATTTTTTCATTCTTCTACGGCAGTTTTCATGTAGTTTGCGGCCATTTTCTACTGACCAGATTGAGAGCCTACAGCTGGCTGCAACGAATAGCCAGGAAGATTCTATTGGCCAGCGTGAGAGCCAACATCTGACTGACATGAATGTTATCTAGCATGCTAGCATGCAAAATGTCGATAGCTGCATTCGTCACAGGTGGGAAAAATTTAAATCTGCATGGCACTTTACTCCAATTGGCTCATTCGCTTGCTTAAACTCAACTTTGATTCTGATTCCGCAGAACTGGGTTGGGTGTGAAAAAGTATTTGTTGTTAACATTCTTTTTTCATTCGGTTTTTCCAGTTACGAGTCCTTTTTTAAAGCTGATCGTTTTGTGTTCATTTTGTTTAGTTCTTTTTTCGTAACAGATTTAATGTTTAGTATAGAGCTTAGAAAAAATTCGCAGTGTGAGATAGACAAGAAGTAAAGCTTGTAGCAGCATCATCACGGAAAAGGGCACTCCTTTAAAGGCAAGGGAGGGCAAAAATATTTTAAGTCAAGTGATAGCGATTGCTGTATGAGTCGTACGATTTTTGAATCAAGCACAGGCAACGCCGGGCTATGCTGTATATATATATATATATATATATATATATATATATATATATATATATATATATGAAACTTTTCTAAAAATTAAAAATAAAATTAATATTTAAAATGTCAAAAAACGAAAATATTTATCTTTAAAAAATATAGCAAACGATGAATGTTACTTAAAATTATTTATTTCACCTATAAATTTAGGGGAGTCTTTTCTTATCCCTTAATTTTGAATCGGAATTGCTAGCCTTTAAGTGACCAATTTAATGTAATGATTTCTGTAACACATGGATGTTTGGAGCCTTGGTTCGTGAATTTATTGTTAAAGCAGTGGTGAGTTCAATCCCTGAGTCAAAATCAAACTCAGTGAAAACAATATGAGCAATAACAGAGAAGTACTAGAGAAAAAGAAAAAAAGAGAAAGACGAGATATCACTAAGCATGGTCAGAGAAACGAAAATATCTATCCTACACAACATAGGAAATGTGCGTATGTGTGTTTATGTGTGTCTGTGTGTATGTGTGCGTATGTGTACATATGTGTATACTAATTCCTTATAATCAGACAATATATATATATATATATATATATATATATATATATATATATATAAATGAACATTGACGTCAACACTTAGAGGCGACAGTCTGTTTCATGCCAGACGCAATCGTCAGCCAGACACGCTCTATCTCTGATATTGAGCACTTTATCCCATAAAAATATCACACCTTAAGACTATATTTCTTCATACATACATATATATATATATATATATATATATATATATATATGGAGAGGGAATATACGTACCCATGCTGACAAAAACACACACACACACACACACAAAAATGGAAATAGATCTAAGAACACACAGGGGCCATTAAAAGATAAGGATATAGATATCTTTATCACCCTTTCTCGGACTAGTTTTAACTAGTTTTAACTAGTTTCACGCAGAATGTTTTCACTGTGAGTTCAAGAAATACATTTGGTCACTAGCACACAGAAGAGAATACCTAATATTGAGAATTTTTGACATCGAAAAACATGATAAAATTATTTCCTTTTAATAATATGTGGAAATATTCATTATTTGCCTGATGACAGTCGCAAGACCGGAAACACGATTAATGTAAGTAAAATTTGCCACTTAGCTGATTGATGTTACCTTCAGCCTCCCGACTCCAGAGTTTCGTAGACGAACCTGTTCGTCCACTTTTCAGTGGCTATCAGCAATTTACTGCTTATACTTTTTTCAATTTTTTTTTTTTTTTATACACATTTAGCACCGGTGTTAATTATCTATTGTATTCTCTGTGTGTGTATATGCGCTTATACTCGCACTCGCTTACTCCCGTCTGCACGGATGTGCGTCGTATTCATGTTGCCCTTTTTTATTTTTTTTTTATCTGATGACTTGGGAAACGACGAAACTTTAACTTGCACTACAAACGTAGGTATATGTGTATTTATTAATATATACACCATAGCTCTGTTTAACTACATTGAACACTGTTTTGTTTGCAACATATATTAAATACATATTTATTTACTTATCTGCGTATGCAGGCTATCGCACACATATACATTTGCTAATATGTCTCGCTATTTAGCTTATATTCATACTTATCTCTCTCTCTCTTACTCTCTGTCTCTGTCTCTGTCTCTGTCTGTCTCTCTCTCTCTCTATATATATATATATATATATATATGTTGCTTTGCCCGGACAGAATCCATTTATACATCGTGATCAATT